CAAGCCTCTTGCGGGCAGAGGCTAGCTCCTGGGTTACCTAGGTGCCACTGTGTTGGCCACAGCAGGTGTTCCATGGAGTCCTGTCTTATGAGAATCCAGGTACCTGGGCTTGGGTACAGAATGGGGATATGCAAAACAACTGATCAACTAAAAATATTCAGGAAATGCACTCCCAAGGACTCCCCGCTCAACAACAAAGAGAGGCCAAGAATGTGGCAACCACAAAAACTCTGCCATTTCCTTCAGAACCGCTCTGGCAAGCAGTAGCCCATAGACCCCGCGAGAGCCATTCTGAAGGGAAACTAAATGCATCACCACTGGAGCCACACTCCCACTTGGAATGCTGGTTCAAGCTCTTGGGCCATAAGAAACGATTTATTGTCTCAAGCTTAAACATCAATCCAACAAAAGCACTTGACTCACACAGACGGGTACTTCATAAACAGTAGTAAACTAACAAAGCCTAACACTCCCTTCTTCAAACACAGCAGATTCCAAAATGTTTATATACACAGCTATATTAAGGTATCAAATTAAAATCACAAGGCTGAAAAGAAATGATCAAATGATGTCATTAACTCCAGATTAAAACAGGGAAAAGTCTTTAATAAAAGCAGCAGCATACCACCTTGAACGCCACATGCAGATCTGCCTGGAGGACGAGCTATGTACCCTGGCCTTGGCCCTGGCACAATAGCCCATCTGCCACTCGACAGCTGTGCAAAAGGTCCTTCTCCCTCTCGTTCCTGCTGCACCACAGAATCCACTCCACTTGTATTTATGGCATCTACTTAAAAGCGAGTAATCTCTAATATCAGGACTGAGAAGTTCTCAGATTTGTGGAGGGAAGGTTAGGAAACAGGCAGTTCCAGGGCACGGGAGGAGCCCACAGAGGTGCTGCAGGGGAGGGGGCCTCACCCACATCCCCCTGCCACGGCGCACCTGTGCTGGACATTCACTCGTGGAGTGCCTATGCTGCCAGGTGCTGGTGGGTACAGGGCAGGCAGGAGGCTACTGGGTCTCTTGACTCTATGAAGCCTTTAGCTAGCAAGCAAGATGACATCAAACAATTAACGTCGCAATGAGCTACTGGAATTGCACAACTGGGGATCCTGTTAGGAAGGACCAAGAAGGATGTTATGCTAAAGATGAGCAGGTGACCAAGCATGCACATAAACCAAGGTATTAGGCAAGTCAGAGGTAAAGAAAGTAGTCCAAAACAGTGAGCAGTGTGTGCAAAGGCCCAGGGGCCAAAGAGGACTGAGAGAAAGCAAGGAAGCAAAGCAGTTAGGGGGCTGAAGCTAAACAAAAAGGGCAAGCACCATCAGGTGAGACTGGAAAACCACAGGCTAAGATTAGGCAAGCCCTCTGGAGTCCTTGGGATACTAAGAACAAGGAGAATGGTGGGTACTTTACTGGAGCTGCTGAGACCCATGAGGCTAGCCCCCACCTTGGAGAGTTTGCAAGCGACTCTGAGCAACAAATACCCCCAGCTCTTCTAAAGCTAAGCCCATTTATCACCTTCCCAAGGACTCAGTTCTTTGCCTTTGTAAATAATGGGGTTGAAGAGTGTTTCCCCCAGTGGAGATGTCAACATTTTAAAAAACTAACTCATGCTAAATTATTGCAGGAATGTGCATGCAAGACCAACTGCACAAAATGACAACTTTTCTCTGCCACTGTGCCCCTGACCCCCCAGACAGCCTGCACACTACCTTGGGCCCACTTTTCCCATAACACCTGCACGCTTCTGCTGCTCTGCGCGCATGGGTGATACCACAGGAGGGCGGCACCACGTACCTGTCACCTATCACTCGTGTGAATGACCTAGCCTAACACCTGCACATGCCTGGCTGGCAATGGGCTGAGTAGTCTTCCCTTGGATGAATGCTGGGACAAGGAGACAATCCACAGCAGCGGGACACAGAACTGTGCTGGAGAGTAACTAAGCAATTACTAAGCGTTATATAACAATACATAGAGGTCTCTCCAGAGCAAAAATAATAAATAACAGCCAAATCTGATATAGGGCTGCCAGGCCCTATTCCAAGCAACTTCCATACACAGACTGATTTAACCCTTGCAGAAGCCTTGTGATACAGAAACTTTGTTACCACAGCAATAGACGTTATCACAATAATTCGGCAGCATATGCGGAGTCTCTTTCAAGCCGACTTTATCAATAAATTCCTTATTTAATTTTTCTTATTTGCCATGGAGATTCACACATCTACAGGCTCTTATTATCTTGCAACAAGGGAACTCATACTTTTGCTATTGGTTTGAAAAAGCTCTTTACATATTGACTATTAAACTCACAAAGACATAAGTTGGCTTTTTTTCCTATCTCTGAACCCTGCTTATGGCACTGGGTTGGGGTGGAACCCAGGCGAGCACACTAACCACTAAGTGACAACCCCAGCCCTACTGTTTTCTTTTAAATTTTTTATGCTGCTTAATCTCCAAGGCTTCTGGCTGGTTTCAGGATAAGAACGGATTAACTCAGTAGTTCTTCAAAGTTTTCGGTCCTCAAATGTGTTCTTTCAACAAAACTTTCCAAGGGTAATTGACAGATCAAACTTCGAGCCCTGAGCAGCTCTGGGTGAAAGAGACAGAGCACAGCACAGCACGGGACGCTCCCACTGCAGCTACCTGTCTCCAGGCAGCTGGGGGTTTCTTGGGGAAAAGTCTAAGAGTGGACGGGGATCAACCACCCAGTGCCTCACACAGGCATGGCAAGTGCCCCACCGAGCCACACCCCAGCCCAGGGCTGCTAGGATGTCTTCAGTGGGCCAATGCCACACACAGACAGAAGGCTAGAGGAAGCCAGAAGTGCTTCCCAGACCCTCACAATATGTGCAAACCCTAACACCTCCAGGGACAGCCAATACAACACTGTACCCCGACAGCACTTCACTCCTAGGCCCAGAAGCACAGCCAGGAAGAGGGATCAGCCTTTGAGACACAGGGAGGGGAGCCAGACACCCCATTCGTACTCCCCTTGCAAGCCCAGGCTGCAGGGAAGGATTAACAAGACGGAGACAGCCACTGCTTAAAACATCCATGTGGCCCCAGTCAGGTGCTTATCCGCCAGCTACCAGTTTACACGACGACTACACGACGACGACAATTGCTCGGACACAGTATTATAAGCCTGCTCCAGGAAAGGCTTTCTTATTTCCCCAGGGGCTGGTACAGGGTGCTGCACAGCACAGCACAGGGCGCTAACCTGTCCTGCAGCTGTGTGACAGGGTCTTTGTGGGGACCATCTGTGTACCACCCTGGGCCTGCCTTCCAGGAAGGAGGTGGCATGCCAGGAGGTGACAGCAAGGCCATGAGCCCCTGTTCTGCCCCCATTGGACCCACCCTTTTCACTCCAAGGCTGAGGACTGTGGACTCTGAAAGGGCTCGGTGGCACTCCTCCCATTGGCCCTGTAAGACTGAGTCCAGGTCTGTCCAAGCCCGGGCTCTCGGGACATGAATACAGGTGCTGTACCCTCCTCGAAGGAGGGGCCCAATGACCAGAGCCCACTGCACCACAGGGAGTGTGCTGGCCACCTACGATGGGCACAAACTCCCCCAAAATCTGCCTTTCCCCATCCCGGCACAGGAGTGCCTCAGGCTAGCACCAAAGGGCCAGGGACTCGTCTGTGGCTGCAGTGGCAGGGGCTCAAAGGCTGGGCATTCTCCCCAGCCACGGCCCTCGACTATCCCAGGGCCCTGAGCCTGGCCACCATTGGCACCTGCTGCCTCCCAGCAGCAGCAATTCTCGCATTCTCTGCATTTCCCTCCTCACTCCATCAGGTATGAATGCATCACTCGCCAGCAGATTTTGAGCTCTGAAAGCCCAGCCGTTTTCAATAGAGAACGGTATGGACAAGTTCTACAGGAATGATGAAATTTCTCTTCGGCTCTGGCAATGAGAACGGCACAAAGTCGCCTTTCCTTTGGTGCCACCCCCAACATCAAAGGATCAGAATTCAAAGCCATTCATGCTGCATTGAAACCTCACAATGAAGCTGGAAAATGGAAGTCGATTACTGGGCATAAATATGCAGTAGTTAGAAGGAAAGAGTCATAATGAAATTAAACTGCAGCAGCCCCACAATGTGTGGAAACTTCCAGCACCAGAGTCCTGCTGGCAGACATGGAGAGGGACATCTCCTAAAGCAGGTTTCTGACCTCTCAAAAGCCCAGCATGGCAGATCGAGCTGCATACAGCCAGGGTGCCATGTGTGGGGCCCACCTTGGCCACAGTGGCCCCTGGCCCGGAGAACATGGCCCCAGAATGTGTGGTTGCAGGGCTCTTGCTCTGCCAGGCTGCGGGCCGGAAAAAACGCGCTGTCTGCGGCCACTTCAGCACATCTGTCTTTGGTCCTTTGGCCTTCCAGGCCTGCAGTCCGGTCATCTTGCCTCTGCCCCATCCAGGGCTCCCCCAGGGACTCTGTCATCACCTTCCCTCCCAGGAGAAAGCAAGAACCCTAAAGAGGGCAGTGTTCCATCTGCCTGCGGAGCACACCCTGCTCTTTCGATTGATTATTGCTGTCTTTAGAAAGGTATTGGCTCTTTAAAAAACCGCCCAGGGCACAGAAAGCTACAGAAGTCTCACAATGTGTCGGGTGTGTGTTTTTAAGGCATGAAAATACTTCCCTCCTACACAAACCGGAGTTCTTCTGGGGAAAAGATGCCACCGATCCCAGGGAGTAGAATATCTGGGAAAGCTGATCGGTCTTAAAAATAGATAACTGAACACAGACTAGAATTTGCAGGGCTACCTGAAAAAAATTACATTTCACAGATTTTTGATATCCAAAACTCCATTCTGGTGAAACTTCTAACTGGGTGGCATTTTGCATTTCCAATTATAATAGAGTAATTGTGTTGCCATAGTTACTGCCAAATTCTGCAATAACTTTTGTTGCCTTGTAACTGCTGTAGTGTATATTTGCGTATAAGCAGCTGAGTTTTCTCCATTCGACCTCCCTCCCTCTTCCCAACCAGCAGCAGCAGCACCAACACCACCGTCACCTCTCCCGGCTGGACTCTGAAACCACCACACCAGCTTTCATTAGGCCGTCCCAGAATCAAGAGCGGAATTATCAGAAGCAATTAAAACTCCACGCAACCGCGATCATATTACTCAGGAAAAAGCGAAACCAGGTCAAGGTGCAAGCCGCCGGCACCCCCCAAACCCGCCGGGGCGCAGGGCCAGGGCTGTTTACAGGTTTACTCCCAGGCCTTAAAAGCTTAGGTGGTTTGTGGGAACGGGAGAAAAGCCTGAGAAGAGAAAAGCGGGCAGGCGAAGCGATTACATAGGCCTTTCCTCCCTCCCGGCAGGCGCGCTGCTCTCAGCAAGCAATTAGGTAGGTCTCTACAGTAATGCAATTAGGATTTAGTTAAGAAAGTCATTACTTCTAAAATAACTTAAGTTTAATTTCTGCAACGCTTTATTTGAAAATTGTGTCACAGCAGGTCAATTTACAGCATGCAATAAAGAAAACACTCCCTATCAGCTGCTGCAAGTTATTACAGATTTTCGATGTACATTAAACGAGTGCACCCGGCCTTTCCAACGGATACGCGCGATCTCCAGCGACAACAGGGTCACCCAATTTCGCGATCAAGGTAAACACCGGCGCGGGGCCGGCGGCGTCTCCG